GCAAATATTTATATATTTCGCAGCCATTGATGACAAGCCGTCGAGTTCCAGTGAAGAGCAGACCGCTCCGATTGCACCTGGAGGCTATCAAAACCCCGCTTACTCTCGTTCAGCCAGCTTTGAGAGATCGCCGGAGAAGCATGGTCGCCGGCGGATCACACCCCAGCAAGTGCCGCACCAATTCGAGGTGGTGAGGGTGAACAACACGGATCCTATACTGAAGGAGGTGGCCAAGCAGATCAACGATTCCGTGGAGTCTACGACGACGGACATCCGGAGGAACCCTCAGCACTCCGCCGACGACAACTGGATGCCCCTGCCGTATCCCTATCCTTACGACACAACAATGCCTGCGCCAGCCGCATCGAGCTCTATGATGCCGGGATTTATGCAATCCTCGGTGGTGCATCCACCGGCACCCACACAGGCCACTCGATCCACTGAGGGACTACTCAACTGGCCCACTGATTTCATCGACAGTTCTTTGAACACGGCGAGCACCGAAAGGATCGACCAAAATCTGCATGGGAACATCGACAGACGCGATGAGAACGTCTCGGATCCGGCGGATGAGTACAAGTACTATGAGGACTCCCTGAACTCCGCCCAGATGCACAGTGAGCTGAGTGTTCCGGAGACAATGCCCCTGAACATAACCCGGGTGGGCATCCCTTACGAGGATCGAAATGCTTCCGAGGAGCCGACCATTTGTGTGCCACTCACCGTCTCGGAAACTTCGCTCTCCTCCGACAGCATTATGCCCCAGTTGGTGGAAGTGGAAAGGGTCTACTGCTTTCCCCTCCCCAAAGTGGAGATTCGTCCTGGGCACGTTCGTCCGCAGGTGGAAGAGGTGACCAGGGAGCAGGAGATCCAGGAAGTAGATATGGATATGCAACCAACGGAAGCACCAGAACCCAGTGATTCCACAGCTGGCGCGACTCGAAGATCCCTTGGCACACTTACACTGCTCCTCATCATTGGTTGGAGCTTCCGGCCAGGAATTCGAACTTAGAATAAGGATCCATTGACCTAAACACAACTCAGGGGCTATTCGCTATCTACATTTATTTAAACATTAAAGCTAAGCAAACATACCACGTATTCGGGGTTTTTGTTTTATTTAGCTGGCAACAGACGAATGAAGTAAGTAACTAATATTCTCCATATTTTTGTTCATTATCAAGTCTTATGAAATTGGTATAACAGACTTCCGAGGCATCGGAATAAATTAACGAAGCTGCAAGAAAGATATTAAAAATTAGAGTTCCGAAACCGACCAAAATAAAATGAATAAAAAACATAAATATTCATATTTAAAACTTGTTTTTAGGTAAGTAGCTATTGAAGTTCACTTTCGATTAAAGATCTTGGACGAAAATTACAAAATTCATCATGTTGTCATGTATATTTTTAATTGATTATACAAAGCTATTCTAATTTTATGGTACAACTTTGTTTACATATTTAATATATTAGAACCAACTTTTTTTATTCTTTACTTCGTTGATAAGAGTCAGTATAATTTTCATTATCTATATACTGATATAAGTATTAATTTAAGCCGTAAATCGATATTGATTACAATCTACTTGTTGATTATAGAATTTCACAGTTTTCTTATCAAACCGACATTTCTCAGTAATATTTTTCATTCATAAAAAATACTATGAGCTATAAAATGAGAAAAGCTTTGCCATTCTGATAAGAATACCAGTGTCAACTTGTTAATTGTTAACCCCCTTTTAGCAAGAAACTCGTCACGTGATGCCTTGTGTAAAGTCTTTCTATTGGCATTACTTGGCAGTTTTTCTGCGAACTGAACTAAGGCGTAAAGTTGCTTGTGGAAGCCTAGAGATAATACCCTCGATCTCGGAAGGCCAAAAGCTGACTTATTCACACCGAAGCATCTCCTTCTTCCGATCCACTTTGTAGAGGAAATTGTGATCATCAAAGTAGCCAAGATACCAGCCCTCGGAGTCCTGCAACTTGTGGGTCTCCTCCGGATTTCCGTAGTAGCCATCCCAGTAAAGGTTCGCGTGGACATACTGTTCCCCATCCTGATTGCAAGGCATGTTTTTTCCTTCCTCATCCACAATACGCATTCGAACTCACGGCCAAAAGTAAAGTAAACCAACTTCAATGATAAAAGTCAATATGTGTTCATTATAGACTAGTTCAATTCTTTATTGTTTTAGGCAACTTATCAAGACATAAAATACAAATTTTTCTGTTCATTGCTTATAACATTTGAATACATTTATCTTATAATAACTGATAATAACTTTTCTGTTAAAAACAAATTAAAAGGACGTTTAAAACACATTTAACTGGTACATTATTGCTTTGTTGTTATTGAGGTAGTGAGAAGCAGTTCAAATTTAGGTTAACGATTCTAATAATATCTTATTTCCCAGCTCCTTTCTTAACAACGAATTCCTCTCGCGCCACCCGACGCAATGTCTTTCCATTTGGATTGGCCGGCAGCCTATCCGTAAACTGGACACCAGCGTGGAGCTGCTTTTCAATTGAGGGCAGTCTCTTGGCCACATGAGCCGCAATCTCCTCAGCAGTAATTGAAGACTCCTTTCTCTTGACCACCAGTGCACCAGCTGCATCTCCCTGTTGCTCATTGTAGATGCTGATGACACACACCTCCTCCACCTGGGGCAACTCCGAGATAACGCCTTCGATTTCAGAGGGCCAGTACTGGTTTCCCTGGTACTTGAGTATCTCCTTCTTGCGATCGATCACATAGAGCAGGTTGTGGTCATCAAAATAGCCCAGGTCACCGGTGTGAACCCATCCCTCATGGTCCTGAATTGTATGAGTCTCCAGGGGATTTCCATAGTAGCCATTCCAATGAAGACCTGTGTGGACAAAGATCTCTCCCTGCTCATTGTAACCCAGGTTCTTGCCATAGTCGTCCACAATGCGAATTCTTATACCTGGCATTGGGTTGCCTGCAGTATTGACGTTACCGAGTCCGATATTATAGGCCACTCCACCCACCTCAGTCAAGCCGTATCCCGAGTTCAACAATGCATTTGGACAGAGCTCCTGCATTTTTTTCAGTGTAGTCATGGACGTGAATCCACCTGCGTAATTTATAATCCTAATGGAGGACAAGGCCTCTTTTGTGGCCCCGGGAAATGCGATCAGGGCAGACATATGGCGAGGGGGCAATATAACATAGTTGATCTTATACTTCTCAACGAGCTTGACAAAGTAGTCCGGTGCAAAGGGCTTGTTGGTTATAATCCGTGTGCAGCCAAGTACTGTGCTAAAGAAAAAGAGTGTCAGACCGCTATACCAATCCAGACCACTTGCAGAGAATACGATTAGTTCGCTGTTAACCCCCCTGCAGGAAAATCAAACAATTAGGAATTTTCTAAGGGTAATACACGAAAAGGGCTTACGGGTAATCCAGGAAAAGAGATTGATTCGATATGCAGACAGCCTTGGGCAATCCAGTAGTTCCAGAAGAGCACATGATGGCAACAGTTTGTTCGCCTCCTTCTTTCAATGGTTCAGGTCTAAAAAATACGTTAATATTTTTCAGCTTATGGGGCTATTATTTTCAGGCACTCACTGGTAAAACATTTCTGTTCTAGTAGGATCCAGTAGTGTTTCTATATGGCGCACTCCCCCAATGGGGTCAGTAACTGTAAAGATCTCTGGTTTCCATCCTTTAGTTGCGGAACGAACTTTCTCGTACTCCAGTCCATCGCAGAATATTACAGTTGGTTTAGTTATTGAGTAAACGTGTGCCAAGGTTGCTATAATAAGATATATTAGTTTGATAATGTCTGAGCTAATACCTTTTAATCGCTAACCTTCGTCCGACACTGGATTTACCGCGTGGAAGGGTGTTCCATTTAACAGACAAGCTACAGCCACAGGCGTCACATATGTAGAGTTTCTCGCAGTAATGCCAATTACGTCGGGATGTTTCAGTCCCCTTTTCTTCAAGATCTGAGCAATACGAACAGCCCAAGTTATGACCTGCTCAAAGGTCAACTCCACACCGTCCACATCGTTGATCTATGTTTGGGGTGTTATCTTTGAGAAGGTCTATCGAGACCTTAACCTATTGGACTCACCTGACAAACATTCTTTGGCCAGTTCCTCATGATGTTGAATATTATTTTCCCGAGAGACGTTTCATCGGTGTACGTAGCAACCCGTGGGGCTCCACTCCAGATCCGCTCCCTCGCATCGTAAGTGGTTGGTATTCCCTCCATTCTTCAGGTTTATCGACTATATTGAGCTATAACTCCAAGAAACTGTTAGCTATAGATGACCCGCATCAACTGAACAAATGCTTCACGCGACACTTATCTAATCGGAAACCAATTTTACACTGACGAGGGGGAAAATATTGAACTATTTGTTCACGCCAAAAAGGCGCTTAATTTCTGGAGGCTGCGTCGAGCGGCAGTTTTCTCCAGATGTCTACATCTCGTCCGCTCTCCCTCTCCAAGTCTCCCCTACTTCTCCGCTCCGCTCTGAAGCGCTTTAGTTAAGCTAGGCTTAAGCAGTTATATTTTCAAAGTGTTCCAAAAAAACACCCAAGAAACGCGTCGAGCAACTCCCGTGTTTTTGTGTTCTTCGATTTCCTATAATTTCAGCGATCAATCCACCCCGCCCCAACACTATTAAATAACTTTTATATTTCTCTACTGTTTTATTAGAAGTACGCACCTGACTGTGGGATACCAAAATAGGTAACATGTAAAAACATGTTTTTTGTTTAATTAATAAAACCAAACAATAGAATAGTTCTTATTTAGCAATTATTTATATCTTATCAATCTAGTTCCTTAAGAATATTAAAAGAAACGTATACCTAATCACAAAAGCTTAATAGGTTGGGGGTCTTTAAACGATTGGCTATGTAGGAATCGTAGCGTTCTCCAACGATAAGAAAATCATCAATTTAATTAACGTATGATAATGACACGTGTTAAATCTATGAATCAATTTTGAGTTCTATCTAATCGTTTTTTATATTGCTTTTATTTTTGCAAACAAAATTAAGTCTCGTGAATATACTTTTTATCAGAATCATCACACCACAGTCCAAATTAGTTACATGTTAGCGATTACCATCAATAACACTAGCTTACAAAACAATATTTTGAAAATGCTCAAGAAGGATGATGGTAGTTTCTGGTAGATTAAACCCCTTTACCACAAAAAAGAAGATTACAAAATGTTAAATGGATACGTTTTTTTAAAATATTTTTTTAAGAACATTTTTGTGGTATCTTTGAGTTTCTAATTATATCTTGAGTTGCGCTTTTCCAATTTAGGTGATAAATGTTTTAGTTTACAACTATAATATCACCCTTCAATTATGGCGACTAAATGCTCCGGGGTATCATGAGTATATTGTGAGCTACAAGTCGGCAAACTTTGAAAAAGTGAAATATTTTAAACATTTTCAGATTTTCAAGACTAGAATGATGACTTATGTATACTCATATTTAACAAACCAAAGTCCAAAACTTTTTGAAAGTTTTACGTTCCTAATATTAATCAGACAGAAATTTAAAAGGGATTAAAAGGTTTCTAGGTACAATACAATTTATTGGGCTCCAAAGGTCAACACGTTCTCGAGGGCCCTCCTCAACCAGGGCACTCGAGCAGTACTTTTGAAGCGTTTCAAGTATCCCCTGGCACTTGCGATTAAAACTATACTCGATCTTGTGGATCGTTCAGATCTCACTTTCCCGCTCCTTTCTGGGCGACGAACACGTCGCGTGCCGTCTTTCGCATTGTCTTGCCATTGACATTGGAGGGCAGTTTGTCGGTGAACTGGACGCCGGCTCTCAGTTGTTTCTGCGTGGCAGGCAGTCGCTTGGCCACGTGGTCCACGATCTCCTTGCCGGAAATGTTGGCTCCCTTGGTCTTGACCACCAGTGCCCCCGCCGCATCGCCCTCACGCTCATCGTAGATCCCCACCACGCACACATCCTGCACCTGCGACAGCTCCGAGATAACGCCCTCGATCTCGGTGGGCCAGTAGTGGAGACCCTGGTACTTAAGGATCTCCTTCTTGCGATCCACTATGTACAGGAAGTTCTGCTCATCGAAGTAGCCCAGATCGCCGGTGTGGAACCATCCCTCAAAGTCCTGCATGCGTCGAGTCTCAACGGGGTTTCCGTAGTACCCGTTCCAGGCCTGACCCGTGTGCACATAGATTTCTCCCACCTCGTTGTAGCCCAGATTCTTGCCGTCCTCGTCCACGATCCGAATCTTTATTCCCGGTATGGGTCGGCCAGCCGAGGAAACGTTGCTGATTCCAATATTGATCGTAATGGCGCCCACCTCTGTCATTCCGTATCCCGAGTTGAACATGGCTGTTTTGCAGAGTTCCTGGGATCGCTGCAGGGTGGCCAACGAAATCGAGCCTCCGCCGTAGTTAAGATGAGTAATAGGAGCCAGAGCTTCCGGCTTGGCATCCGGACAAGTGATCAGGGCGGATAGATGGCGAGGTGGTAGAACTGCATAGTTGATCTTATACTTCTTCACCAAACCCACAAAGTACTCGGGAGTAAAGGCTTTGTTGCTGATAATGCGAGTGCAACCGAACACGGTGCTAAAGACAAAGGCCCACAGACCCGTGATCCAGTCCAAACAGCTTCCTACATAGATAACCGACTGACTGGTTATCAACCTGATAAGATAAGTATAAGAACATTATTCATTCGAGGGTTAGGTATACGGACTTACATGCTGTCCTGTATCAGGATGCTGTTGGAAATACAGACAGCCTTGGGCAGACCAGTAGTTCCAGAGGAGCACAGGATGGCAACGGTTTGATCCCCACCTTCCTTCAAGGCTTCCGGTCTACATACATGGAAGCTCGGTTAGCTACAATTTAGGGCTATCCCACATCTCTTATACTTACTGGTACATCCTTTCAGTTGTGGTAGGATCCAATAGGGTCTCAATGCCCTGGACTCCTTCAACATGTTCCGTGAGGGTTAGGATTTCCGGATGCCATCCCACTGTAGCCTTGTGAACCTTATCGTACTCGTGACCATCACAGAATATGAGTGTTGGCTTAGTGATCGAGAACACATGGGTTAACGTAGCTGCAATTTGTGTTTGATATATAGTAATGAATCACAGTTTTCCAAAAACTATACCAACCATCATCTAGCACAGGATTAACCGAATGGAATGGGGTACCATTCATAAGACATGCCACTCCCAAGGGCATCACATAAGTTGAGTTTTTGGCTGCAATGCCAATCACATCCTTGTGGTTTAGACCTCTTTTCTTGAGGTACTGGGCTATCCGAATGGCCCAGGTGAGACCCTGCTCGAAGGTCACGGTTACTCCATCAACATCACATATCTGTTGGATAGCTTTTTAGTTTCGATATTGGCCATATACAGTCCTTTCTGGGCAGACTCACCTGACACACGTTCTTGGGCCAGTTTTTCATGTTGTTGAAAATGATTTTGCCCACGGAGGTGTCATAGTTGTACATGGAGTTGCGCTTGGCTCCGCTCCAGACATTATCCTTTTCGTTGTAGGTGGTGGGTATCATAGCCATGATGTCGTTTCCTCCAAATATAATGCTTGCCGTAGGAAAGTGCCGTTGATTATGGTTAACGCAACGAAATGCAGTTCTATTTATAAGGAGCCAGAACTGTGGGAATCCAGTCTCGATAGACACCTTGAGTGGATCCACTGCAAGTGGCTAACACCTGTACCATCTTATCTGTGCCTGCTGAAGATAGTGCAACCATAGATTTCAGCCTGGCCCATGACTATTTTATACCCTGCTCCAAAGTCTTACGGTACCCAGTGTCTTTAATCTAAATACATTAATCCGCCTCATTGTTCTGAAAGTCTACGAAAATTTGGAGTAGGTTAATACCAATCATTTAACTGAAATTCCCGCTAATACTACAAAATAAGTCCACTCAACTGTATTCGCAGGGATTTAAGGTATGCTTAAAAGTGGAGTAAATATGTAAGTGGTATTCCGAAAGGTACCTATCTAATCTTTCTCGTTCAATGCTAAATTGAAGCGAAAATCCCAAGACCCATTGCCCCTAAGTACCGGGGGGAACTTGCCAAATAAAACACCTGACTATCTGTGATTCAAATCACGCAAACCTTACAATTGTCCAGGAAGTGGCACAGTAATGTGATCATTGCCCATTTTTACTACTCATGAGATTTAAAAGCTATCATAACAAGTTTTATGGGGCTATTAATCCTTTGGTTACCTCGCATTCCTGATTAGAGGTATACGTAGGTTAAGTCTTGTTATTGTCGCCTACTGTTCGTTACTTAATCGATCAAATTCCCAGACTCACACAAACATATTTTAGCACTCAGGCTTCAATTTCTCTATAGCTTTTGGAAGATTATCTAAATCAGAGAAAATTATTGACCTATAAATTGGATCTAAAATGAACCATGGTTTCCTTGCTGGCACTATTTCACTGCTAAATGATCTTGCATTTGATCTCCCATTTATTAAGAGTTTATATTTTATAATGCTTCTTAAAAATGTCCTTTATATTGTCCACTTTATATATTAACCAGTTGAAGATGTAACAAATATTTAAATTTTAAATGGCGGTTATGCCAGAACTGTCTGGCAGCTCTTCAGCCGGTCCGGCATCACTCTGAACAGCTGTCAGATCAGCTGTAGATGCTTGCAGCCCTGGTCCCTAAAAATTCACGGCCAACAGCCAAAATTCGCGGTCAGAAACGCGGAAGTCTCTAGTTTTATGTAATGTTTAGGTGACGAGGAATTATATCCGATCTGAGCGCTAATTGTTCCACACTGCAATGTTTCCCTACCACCTCGGGGTCGTGGTCCGCAGCGCCCGGCAGAAGCCCCTGCTATTGTGGGCGCCCGTCTGCCACATGAGTGGCCTCAGTCCGCTGAAGGAGTACCAGCAGCGCGTCAGTTCCGGCCAACTGATGACCGACGAAAGGCAGTTCCAGACGATGAAGGAGCTGGATGCCCTGTACCACAAGATCCAAGGCTATAGGCCCAGCTACAAATCAGGAGGAGCTGGCGGTGGCGGGTTCTTCAGTTCCCTTTTCGGCCGAAAGTCCTCCGAAGACGACGATCAGGATGATCCCTACGCGGGCAGCCACGCCCCTCAGGGGCTGTACCTATACGGTAGTGTGGGCGTGGGCAAAACCACTCTGATGGACCTCTTCTTCGATTGCTGCACCAAGGTTGGCACTGAATGGGATTTCCAGCAGCAAATTAACCATAAGTTTGTCTTTCAGATTGATCGTAAGCAGCGCGTCCACTTTACGTCCTTCATGAACAGCGTGCACACCCGCATCCACGAGGCCAAGCAGAGGCAGGGGCCTGTTGACCGGGCATTCAACTCGGAAAAGCCCGCTCCCTTCGATCCCACTCGGCCGGTGGCTGATTTAATTGCTAGCGAGTCCTGGTTGATTTGCTTCGACGAGTTCCAGGTTACGGACATAGCTGATGCTATGGTGCTGAAGCGGCTATTCACCCACCTCTTCCGGCATGGCATTGTGGTGGTCGCCACCAGCAATCGACACCCGGAGGATCTGTACAAGAACGGCCTGCAGCGCACGAACTTCCTGCCCTTCATCGGACTGCTTCAGAAGCGCTGCAAGGTGTCCCAATTAGATTCTATTGACTACCGGCGGATAGCTCAGTCCGGGGACACCAACTACTTCGTCAAGGGTCAAACGGATGCGGAGGGCAGCATGAATCGCATGTTCAAGATCCTGTGCGCCGAGGAGAATGATATTATCCGTCCGCGGACGCTGACTCACTTCGGAAGGGATCTGACGTTCAATCGGACCTGTGGACAGGTGCTGGACAGCACTTTCTCGGAACTCTGTGATCGCGTAAGCATATAAAATTAGACGAATATCTGACGAATACTATAACCTATTCCATCAGCCTCTGGCTGGCAGCGATTTCCTGCAAATCTCCCAGTTCTTTCACACCGTCCTCATCCGAGATGTGCCCCAACTGACCCTGGATGTGAAGGCGCAGATGCGACGCTTTATAACGCTCATAGATACCCTGTACAATAATCGAGTGCGAGTGGTCATATCTTCCGACGTTCCACTGGAAAATTTGTTCAGTTTTTCGGGAGGTTCTAGTGACCTCTCCGATTCCGAACGTACATTGATGGACGACTTGAAAATAGTGAGTGGTCTTATATTGAACTAACCTATTTGAATACCATAAAACAAAAACCCGTCTCCCTTAACAGAGCGAATCCAAATCTAGTTTTTTCACCGGTGAGGAAGAGCTGTTCGCCTTTGATCGCACTTTATCTCGGCTCTACGAAATGCAGAAGCGGGAATACTGGGAGCAGTGGGCCAAACATCGCTGAAACCCTATGTCACAAAGCAGTAGTTCAATTAGCGCAATTAAATTATTTGTTTTCTACCTCGGTGTCGTGGAATTTTTAAAAAAAAGTTTCTTGTACATACATATAAATCCCTATCAAAAATGCAATATTTATAATAGATGACTTTCGCAAGTATTAAAGAAGCAATAAACAAAATAGACAAAGTTACCCAAGCGTTTATTTGTAAGATTTTATATTTTAAAATACAAACTCTACTTTAGGATTACAAAATAGTTTGTCACAGGTGATCTTGAAACGGTTTCGATCTCTAAAATTATAAGTTATACAGCGCGATCTGGCAACACTGCCTCAGCTGTTTAATAATCAAATTGATAAGAGTTCTCCTAATTTCTTTCGGTTGAAGAAGATTAAAGGTCAGGAACAACTGATCGATTGTATCTTCAAGTGGAAATTAATCTGCGAAATTTTGGGGTTTTGACGGTGATAAGCAACATGGATGTGAAGGAACTGGAAGTAAACAAAACCCTGCCTTTTGGTGAGACAGCACATGCAAACAAAGTAGATAAATATATATATATTTATATATATATATATATATATATATATATATATATATATATATATATATATATATATATATATATTAAATGATTGTTCGCAGACCCATCCCTGCTGACGGTGAACATCTCGCTGCGCCAGATCGAGGAGATCGCCATGACGGTGTCTCAGCGCTGCCATGTCACCGGGCCCAACGAGATCGCCTGGGCACTCCGAGCTCTGATGCTGACCGATCTGACCACCTTGGCCGGCGATGATACGGCTGCAAATGTCCGGAGGCTGTGCCTCCGCGCCTGCTACCCATTCGAGCCGCAGTTCTTTGACAAGTTCTTCGATCGAGCCCTCATCCCCGAGATGCATACAGCTGCCGTGTGCGTCTATCCGGCCAGGGTGAAGGATGTGTACACAACGCTTCAGCAGTACGGCAAACTGGACAAGGTGGCTATTGCAGCGGTGGCCACGGGCTTTCCCACCGGCCAGTACGGCCTGCAAACGCGCCTGCAGGAGATCAGCCACGCCATCTTGGCCGGCGCCACGGAGATCGACATTGTGATCAATCGCCAGTTGGCCCTGGTGGGCGACTGGGAGGCCCTGTACAACGAGGTGGTGCTCATGCGCAGTGCATGTGGACAGAGGGCTCATTTGAAAACCATTCTGGCCATCGGAGAGCTGGGCACCATGGAGAATGTATGAACATCTTCGCCTAAATAATTTAAATATGTAGTTATAAATTCCTTGGCTCCTTTCAGGTCTACAAGGCAGCCATGGTTTGCATGATGGCAGGAGCGGATTTCATTAAGACCTCCACTGGAAAGGAGACCGTCAATGCTACTCTGCCCGTTGGCCTGGTTATGATATTCGCCATCCAGGAGTTCAAGCGGCGCACCTGCCAGATTGTGGGGCTTAAGCCAGCCGGAGGAGTTAAGACTGTGCGAGATGCGATTGCCTGGATGACGCTAGTCAACGAAACCCTGGGCATCCGCTGGCTGCGTCCCGAGAGGTTCCGTTTTGGAGCGTCCGGTCTATTGGACGACATCGAGCGCGTGGTTCGCGAGGGAGTCAAGAAAATGGAGGAGGAGGAAGCCCTCAAAAACCAGCCCGTTTCTCGCGAGGCTGCTGCCGCCGAGACCTTCTGCAAGGAGCTGCGGAAGAAGAAGGAGGCGGCCCAGTAAGCGGAGCTTTAATTTAGCCTTTACTCACACGCAGTGCATTTATTGTAGCATTTTTATACAACTGACTAAAACCTATAACATAAAACAATTCCCATCTATGCGCGACGTTCGTGCTGGACGGGAGATTTGAAGTTGAAGGCTAACTGCGCCGGAGCCGCCATCAGATCCTCCTCCGCCTGCTCCTCGCCATGCTGCAGGAGTTCTGCGGGCGAGGCCGACTCCTTGTGCGGCTGATTGTCCGGCATTTTCACCTGCATGTCCACCGCAAAGAAGGAGTCATCGAAATTTATTCGGTTGCGCTCGTCCTGCTCGAGATACATGGCCTTGGGGGCAGTGGCTCCTCCCATGGCCTTCTCGTAGGTGTTTAGCCACTTGAGATTGAGGTTGATGTGCTTGTTGGCCGCATTGAACTTCTTTGGCTTCTTCTTTGGCTTGTCCGCGTAGTAGTTGTGCTCTGACTTCTGCGGCGGAGGAGCAATCTTCTCCATCATCCGGCTCTTGGCATCCAGCTTGGGCTCCACATAGTCGAAGAGCGGCAAGTAGAAGTTATACGGCTGCTCCGTGGGTGGCAGCAGTCGCTGCTGGGGCTGCACTTGCTCCTGCACCTGACTACTGGCCTCCGCCATGGCATCTTCCTCCAGAGCGGGCCCAAAGATTTCGCCAGCACGACGGAGCAGGTTCTCTAAACGCTCTATGGTAATGATGTGGGGATGGATGAGCTGGACATCGTCGTGCAGTTGTGCTCGCCGAGCCGCAGGAGGCTTGGCGACCACACTGCAGCAAAAGGCGACCAAGATCAGCTGCAAGGATGGGAGAACTTAGTCCGATTTTCACGCTTATCAGGGATTCCCTAAACTCACAACCAATAAACTATTCATGTCCAATATAATTCCAATAGCTCTGAACGAACGAATCACTTTCGACTTCTCATAGGCAGTACTCCAATTTGACCACCTTCACTTTTAGAGATCTCACACGAAGTGAGGCCTCCTTGCAGCTAGCCAATTCATTTATACTGGCGCTACGTGCTCGAAACGGAAGCTCGGAAGTCTCCGCCATCAATGGCCAACAACAAACCAGCCCGGAGCCTGGTTGGCTGGGAGAAAACTAGTTTCCCACACGAGAAATAAATATGTAACGAGACAAACTAGACTGCATGGGCACATGTATGCACACACCAGAGCGCATAATAATGTTAATGTAACAGCGATCCCGAAGTCGATGCTGGAGTTGAATAAACTGGAACCGCCAGAGACGAACCGTTTGTCACTCATAATGAGTCCAAGCGATTGCCTGCCGCCTGGCCGTCGAAATTGTCCAATTTCAGGCAGTGGCCAGGGAAAAGTCGGGCGCACCGAAAGAGCTAGGCTGTTCATTTTCATTGCAAGTGCATTGACCCACACAATTATTTCCGCAGCAATGGGGACGAATGTGTGAACCCGTTTCGATTGTTTCGACTCATTGCCCGTAAAAGTGCAAGTTCAAAGCTGCAGGAAATGCTAAACGACGGCATAATGGCAAAAGTGTAACGGCCACAACTTGTTCGTTGACTCGAGATCATCGCAAATCGTCGGCTTGTGTTCAACATATGAGGGATTTATTCAACATATCAGACATTTTCCTATCACGATTGCCGCAGTTCGGGCAGTCCCTTAATGATAACATCGAGTGCCTTCAGGTCCTTGTTGACTGTCTCGCTCAACACCTCCATGGCGCGTTGTTGCATGGTCAAGAAGGTCTTCATCTCGTCCTCGGCCTCCTTGTCGATGGCATATTCGGCTCCTCCGTTAACGGCGAACTGGTTGCGCTGCATGCGCATTTGGGAGAGCAGCTCGCTGAGGCGGCCCTTGAACTGGGTGGGGGCGGACACGACGGCCTGCATGTTCTGGAGCTTAGTGCGCATGGCCTCTTCCTCGGGCGTCAGGGAAGTGCCCACCTTACGGGTGCACTCTTGCTTTACAATAATCTGGGAATGACAAAGCAGACAGTTAAATGATAATGAAGCGCTCCAGATCACTATTTTCATACCCTGAGTATGCGATGTCCGAGCTCGGCTAATTTCCGTTTGTGCTCCAGAATCTTGGCTGTGGCCGTGGCGTGACGCTGTCTTAATTCCGTAAGTTCACCCTCCACTTTCTTCATGTACAAGGCATGTGTGTCCGTTTCCTGCTCCTGGCACTTAACGCGCCACTTCAAGTCGTTGAAACCCACCATTGGCACTGGGATAAATTTGCTGGGATCTGGATTGTCCGAATTGGCCTGACGCCACATGCGCGGATCCACGCCTCTAGGGGGATTTTCCAGATACTCCTTTAACTGATCCTCGTCGGGCAAGACCAGAGCCAAAGCTTCTCCAATGCCAAGATTGTTAAGTTGGGGTTTCAGCGATGGCTGGTTCAGGTAGTTCGAGAGCTCGGTGGCCAATATACGCTTGCTTTCGTTTGGTGCATGCTGCAGCTTCTCCTCCACATAGATGACCATCTGACACTTTTTGTTCTCCAGCTCCTTGATGGAATCAATGTGAACCATCATGTTGGGCTTGCTGCCAAATAGACTGTGCAGGGTTTGCACCACTTGCTGCTGGTGTGGCCTAAAGTAAAGGGTATAAATACCATGGTGCGGAAAATTACTTTAACAAACTTACTTAACGGCAGACAGTTCTCTGCAGAAGTTGAGGGCCACCAGTCCCAGTTTGTTATCTTTGCCCGGCATGCGACTATAACCGATGGCCTTAAAGCGACACATCAAGTTCTCCGGCGTAATGTCCACCGGCGCCGCACTCTGGGAGTAGAACATCTTTCCAGTGCCCCATGTGGCCTGCAAGTAGTTCCATTTCGCCACTATTTTATCCCGGTCATCGCCAAAAATGGAAACATTTAGAATGGATTGGGCAAACGCCTCATCGGCCGAAATGGGCGCTGGCTGCTGTTGCGGCTGTCCAAGCATGAAGTTAGTGCCACCGAAACCACCAAATCCCGGCGTGACTGTCGAATTTGCTGGCTTTCCAAAGGCTGAAACACGAACCAGGTTAGGAATACCACACAAAGGCTAATTGGCTAAATCAACTCACTGGATCCGAAGGCTCCGCCCCCAAAGCTAGTGGACTGGTTGGCTCCGAAGCCGCCGAAAGCAGGTGCCGATGTTGTGGTTGCCCCAAAGCCTGCAAATCCACTTGCTGGCGCTGCACTTGCAGCAGGCTGGCCGAATCCACTAAAAGCTGGTGGTGCTGCACTGGTCGCTGGAGCGCCGAATAAACTGGCCTGACTCGTTGCAGGAGCTGCTCCAAATCCACCGAACCCACCTCCGCCAATACCCGTACCAGCTGCTGTAGTTGTTGCCGCTCCAAAGGCCGGAGCACTGCCAAAGGCGGAGCCGCCAAAGCCAGGAGTTGATGTGGCGGCTCCAAAGGCCGGAGCAGCTGACGGGGCACCGAAAGCCGGAGCAGCAGCGGGTGCTCCAAAGGCGGAACCTGCTCCAAAGGCTGATGTAGCCTGTTGGGTGCCAAAGGCCGATGTCTGTGCGGCCTGGGTTCCAAATGCGGGTGCTGGCTGGCTGGTAGCGGCTGTTGCTCCAAACGGCGATCCAAAGAGGCCACCAGTTGCTGAGCGGGGCGATAAGAAGACAGAAAAATGGGTCAGTGTTTTGGAAACTAGGCTTCCGCCTTGAGATCTTATCTCCGATTTCGGTTTTTGTAATTCTAAGCTGCGCCCTCAGTTCGCCTCGAGCACTGGACGTCTACTGGTCGTGGGATATGGCTGTGGTCTATATTTTGCTGATCCTCGTGCTCGGTCTCGTGGGATATGTGGCCTATGTGGTCCACAAGAAGGGGTGAGCATATTGAATGTCTGGTAGAGCTATAGTTCTAAAAAACCCACTCACTGCCCTATTGTAGCATCGATCCCAAGGACATCCGTATCCACAGCCTGCAGGACGCCAAAAAGCTGCTGCAGCCACCACCAAGTGGGATCGGACCCCACAAGTACCTGGAGAAGAGGGCATGAGGTTTTGTTTACGGCAACTCACTCTTGGTCGGCGTGCTTGTTGCTCCCAGCGACGTGTTGGCTCCGAAGAAGGACATAATGAGGGAATCTTATGAAGAATACGTTGCCGAAGAATTTTGTATGCCTTTCCTAAAGGCTGATTTGCTAACTCTCTGTTTTAGTTCAATAAAAATAGTCTTAATCCTAATAAACGTAAAATTTTGGCGCTTCTGATAGGATAGGGATGTGATATTTTCGATTTTTTTTATACAAAAACAAATATTAATATCGTTATGTTTCAAAGCCGAGCTCACTTGATCAATTTTAAGGTTTGTGCTGTTTTGTCGGATTAATAATATAATTCATTTAATATAAAACTTTTCTTTTAATTTTTGGTATTTCATTTTATTATATTTTTAAGGAAATTAAATTATATGTATCGATGCTTAAAAAATTAGACCATATCGATGATTATTCGGTTTTGGTCTAAATATCGATAGTTTTAGCTTTGACCACAGAATTTGAGCACTTTTGAATTTGAAATTTGGCGGTAAAATTGTTGATTCTCAATTAATTGGGGTTCATCTCCATAAAGGTTCGCTATTCCACTTGAAGTCAACATTTTCTCTTTTTCTTTAATTTTCAAGGAATTCAACGCTTATTTTAAATAAGGCATTTCCATAGCGCTCTAGAGTTTATGATGTAATCCCTTCTTGTCCTCAATAATTTCGCTTTTTGGGCTTGTTCTTTTCTTTATTGATACACTTATAGCATAGCATAGTATAGATTTTGGTTATCAATAGACATACACCATATACAAATTTCTTTGAAATTATTCCAATTTAATTGCAATAACATTCAAAATCATCGCAACCTCTGCTCACCAGATCCAAAGAGATACATTTATATATCAATTACAAATTCGTGTCGCACATTGGCAAATATTTTAAAATTCACAAAATTAACAGGGAAACTAATGTTACGATCCGAGGGTTATAGCCCGATTTCGATCTCGCTCTCGCCAACTATTTATACAAGTCATTGTCGCGACGATCTGTTTTTTGTAGCTTCTTGCTAGTTCGATTGCAACTCGAGATATGATTTTACTGCGAGTTATGTGTTAAAAACTAAGGTGCTTTCTTTTCTGATTTACTGCTTTGGAAGTTAGTGGTCTTCTTAGATCGGCTGATTCGGATTCGAGTATATCGCTCTCTTCTCTGGCTAATTCTGATGCTTTTAATCGTTATAATTATATATGTATGCGTACGCATATATGCTCGTTCTACAACTAGGTCTGTGTTAACAAAAACAACAAAATTATAACAGTTTTGTAAATGGAAATACATTGATAGTTTGCGTTTTTATGATTGGATGAGTATGTTGATTTTTTGGGGGGAAGGAACGAGGAGAGAGAACATGATAGGATAGGAAACGTGGACAACAACGGGAGGAGCTAGTGAACGAGCGAACGAAAGGCGCAGCAGCCAGCTATTCTCACACACTCGATATACGTAGCCGTATATATCTCGATTGATTATGCACTGGCTATATAATATATGTAACATTTAGATTAGTATGCGCGTGTTTTATAAAGTAGACAATTATACGTTCTAGTGGCCTCCGGAGTGCTCGCTACCTTTGCTCTCTCCTCCTCAGAAGACGAAGCGGTTGATGTTCATGCCCAGTCCGTTGCCACCGCACCCTCCGGATGGCGGCGGCGCCTGATCGTCCTCGTCGCCATCACCTCCGAAGGTATGCCGGCTAACAAATCCATTGCCGTGACCTCCACTGCCGCGCTTAAAGCGCTGCATCCGTAACTCCTCGTTGTAAACATGGTTGTCCTTCCTAACGTAGTCGCGCAACTGTCGCGGCAATTCCTCCAGCGTTAGTGGCGGCGAAAGCGGCAATGAGACCACCTGGTGGTTCGATCCCGATCCCACACTCGAACTGCAGCTGGCCGAGGCTCCGTTGGACTCGTTGGAGCGGCCGCACATCTTGTAGAACAAGATATAGGGCGTGTTGGGCGAAGTGAGGTTGTGCATCTCCTCCGGCTTCGAGTTGGTAACTAAGTTATCATTGAACTTGTACCAGTTCTTCGTTTGGTCGGCCGCAAACGTAAAGTAGTGACCGGAATCCATGCTGTAGCCGGCGTGCACAACTCCGGCATACAGATCGTAGTGCACCGTGGACATCTCCTGCAGCGAATCTGAGGCAGACATCTTAACGGTGACCTGCAATGCGAAATTGTTAGTTATCTTATTAGGAGGAATCAAATTTCAGATACTAACGCTCTCATCGTGAAACACCTTATGCATCAATTTGGTACGGAAGTGGTACTTCTGATCGTACTTGAATTGCTTGAGCGTGAGAATCAGGTTTCTGGGCGCCTGGGTGACCCCGATATGGCGCTCCGCATCGCATAGCTTCTTGCATTGTGGACAGAAGTACTGATTGTCACCGTCCAGCTTCTCTGGCGAGCAGTAGTACTCGATGAGGTCCTGCACCGAGTAGTTGGTGGCTCCACAATCGTCCTTATCATCGGGAAAAGACAGCTGGAGTTCCCGAAAGCTGTCTTCGTTACGGCTCTCCCAGCCGCAGCTCAGACATCGGTAGGTGGTGGACAACTTCCCGGCAAACGTCTTGTCGATGGTGGATGGCGGCTTCGTGGGAGTCGCCGGCTGTCCTTGTTGCTGCGAGCCGTTTGTGCCTTTGGTGGGTGTCGCGGGGGGAGTGGGAGTCGGCTTGTGACTACAATTGCCACTGCTGCTACCGCTGAGCACGCGATCTTTGCTGTTGTACGGGATCACGCCGCTGGTCACTATATCCTCGCTCAGCGGGGCGGGCACGTCATCGATCGCCGCGCTGGTCTTCGGAGCAGCCACATTGCGGCCAGCGGATGAGGCGCTGTTGATCTCGTGCTCGTGCAGCAGGTCGAGCAGATATCCTAGGAACTCGGAGCTGTCCTGTTGAAGGCCGGGTGTAAAGCCTGGCGGTCGGGTTGCATTTAGCACTCGTGAGGGCGTTAGTTCGTAGCGCAGCGAGTGGTGCATTAGGGCGATCTGCTGCTGCACCTTCATGAGCAGTGGTGAATCGCACTCTATAAGCAGGATCTGCCTGCTGAAGCTGCAAGAGACAGTGGGTATAAATTAAAACAGGTATAAAGAAAAGAAAAAAATTGAGTTATAAACTGTGGCTTCCATGAAATTATTAGTAGATACTCATTTAAACAAAAAATAAGTGGCCTTGCTGATTGATTGCGTTAAGGGAAACTGACATCTAAAACCAGCTTGTAAACATAGAGCCCCACACAAAATATGAAACCAACATAAATATTTATTTAGAACCTCTAAGCTTTCAACAGAACAGCAAATTCAATGTCTTTCAAGGAAACCCTATTTTAGAACCTTATAAGTGATTGTTAAATAGAATGCCTAGATTCCCACGAATTTAAAATAAGGTCGCATAAGGCTATTTGGCTTTACTTACTCGCTGGTCATGGCCAGTGCCTGAAGTACACTGTTCATGTAGCAGGTATTTCCCAGGTTCACCAGTCCGACCCTCGCATTCCGTCGACCCCACGGCTGGGCATTCTCGTGCATTGCTCGCGCCAAAGCCACGCAGTTCGGAGAGGGCTCGTACTGCTGGAGAGCCTTCTTGGCGGCGGCATAGAGTTCGTCTTGATCGTAAAAACGAAGCATAAGTGCGCTGGTGAGGTCCACCAGCTGCTGCAGACAGTTGCGTGTCTCCAGGCCGATCTCGTCCATGGTGGCAGACTGACTCTTCATATACTGTAGCACTACGGGGATCCTAGGCAAGATCTAAAAGCAGAAAAACCAAGTGTCAGTTCTGCAGTTCAAAATACATGTATTTCGACTAATTTCACCTTGTGGAAAACCTCGGGCATCTGATTAATCGTCGACAGCATGCGGAACACCACCGGGGCGGCCTTTTGTCGTAGCGCTGGGAAGAACATCACATGGAACAGCTTCTCGATGTTGTCCAGCGCAATCTCGTCCAGCAGCACCCGCTTGCCCTGGTCCCGCAGCCCATCGAGGAGCGCCAGCACCCAGAGGTTGAGGTTGCTGCAGAAGGTGCAGTAGGTGATCCAATCACAAAGCAGGTTCACCGTCTTCCGGATGCTCGAGTCCTGCACATTTTGCTCCAGCAGCGAGTGCACCGCCTCAAGGATCTGGTTGGAGTCGAACAGCTGGAACACAATGGCCACGGCGCAAGAAGGCGGCGGCTCAAATGGGGACTTGGTGATCAGCTCGTAGACGACGCGCAGGTAGAACATCTGGTGATACTTCTCGTTGCGCGTGGCCAGAAAAGCCCCCACCTGGCACACGTCCTCCTTGAGATGTGGAGAAGATGCTCTTTCCCGTGGGATCTGCAGACGGGCCAGATCCACGATGGCCCTCTCGCAGATAGCCATCACGTTGTGGCCCTGCTCCGGCAGATCGATGCTATGGAGGTGGGCCAGCAGGGTCTTGATGTCCCGCTTGCCAGGTCGGTTGGAGTTCAGGTTCTCCCCCGCGGGCGATCCCGTGCCCATGCCCTCTGGCGCTCCGTTCTCGTCGGGGATCTTCATCCCATTGGCGGACATGGGGGGCTTGGTGTTGGGCGGCATGCCACCGCCCGCTCCTCCGGCATTCTCCGAGGCGTCGCCCGCCTCGCTGTTGTTCTGCTTGACGGCCATCTCGCGCAGTAGTCGCCGGGCGTGGGAGTGGGCGCGAGCGCGGGCGTTGATGTGGGGGACGCGAAGGCTGGTGGACCACAGGGCCGACTGGAGCTTCCAGCTGCCGGGGGACGGAGGCTTCTGTTTGCCTAGCGCCCGAACACTGCGGCTTTTTCGATGCCTGCGACTCTGAGCGAGGAGTCTGAGCCGCGTGTCCTTGAACCGCGCTCCGTTACGTGTCGTCGTTACGATGTGCCTGCGACCTTGCGACGGGTCTCGAGTGCGCCTCGATCCCTGCCCGATCCCGGCCAGAAACTGCGCCTGCACCACCAGCACTTCTGCTCCGCCGAGTCCTAGACGAATGTGCTGCA